TTCATTACCACCATTATTCAAATATGATTTGCTAATCTTTTTCATCAAGATTTCAATTTCTTCTTCATTTGCCTTACTCTCATCAATTAACAATGTTGTCAAAATCTCTTCTAATGCTTGTGCATCAATTTTTTCTGATTCAGTAGAATCTAAAGTCTCTTCTAATTCTCTTATATCAAATTTAGTGATTCCTTGTTCATTTAAACATGAATGAAGATGTTTTATGTCAATTGGTTTGGTTTTTTGGACTTTTTTCTGTGATTTTAAATGTACTGAAAGTTTTTTATGATTTGGTGATGTTGTATAAAAATGATCTTTGAAAAAATCAAGTATTTCTGATTTTGTAATTTTACGTAATTCTTCAACATCAGTTTCAGCTATATTAATAATATATGATAAAGTTATTTGATTTATTTGAATTGTATAGTATAGAAAATTTTTTTAAACAAAAATATTTTAATTTTACTTTTATTAAATTCATAATATCCATTAGTAATATGATTCCAATATCTATAAGCTTCTTGATATAAATTTTTAGGCTTTTCTGTTTTTATTGTAATGATTGATTGAATGTGTTTCTCATATGCTTCATCTGACATTTCTTCTATTATTTTCTAAAAAAATAATTGATTGATTGATTGATTTATTGATTAATATATATAAATACATAAATATTAACTAATTAAAAAAAGTATACTTGTAATGCTTTAATAAATTCTTCAATTCGATGTTCAAGATAATTTGGGTCCTTTTCACTTTGAATTATAAATCTTAAACCCATTATTCCAGCAGTTGTTTTTATCCCATTAAATACCAAATATCCTAATATATACATCAAAATTAGTTAGCAAACAAATATATATATATATTTAATAATAAATGGTGCTCACCCAATTGTTCTTTAGTTCTGATTTGATCAAAAAAAGGTTGATTAATAATTTGTGCCAATATGCTTAATTTGTTTCTTGATTTAACATCTTTATTATGACAAATTTCAATATAATATTCTATTGCTGAATTGACATTATTAGTATCATAAACATCACGTTGATAAACATATCTTTTTCCCACTGGTAATAAAATTGGTCTATCCCCAACTTTTTGTGAAGGAGAAAGTGACTTGGGTTTTAGAATATCTTCAAAAATTTTTATATATTTTAGTGAGTCTTCCTTGTCAACATTTCCATGAACTAAACATTCAATATGTAAATTATTTAATATATATGAATAGAAATTTTGAATATCCTGACTAACAATATTCTCCAATGCAGATAATTTTTCTTCATTTGTCCAAAATTTTTGATAAAGTAAATTAGAAACATAATACATTGCAATTTGGTAAGGTTTATCATATAAGGTATTACGATATATTCGTAATAGTTTTTCCTTGTGTATATCAAACCTTTTTGAATCAACTTCATAATTCTTCACTTTCAAAAGTACTTTTTCTAAAAGAACCACCACTTTATCATTGTATCCAGAAATGAAAAAGTAAAATCCATCATTGCCATATCGTAAACTAGCATGAAGCCCTGCAACTTCTGCATTATAGGAGTATTCATTTAATGCATCTGTTATTAAATCAGTATATAAACGAGCCTTGACAGCATGGGCTGGTGTAGTATACACTAGTGGACTAATAAACAATTAATATATTTGATATCATTATTTTGTATTAAATGATTGATTTAAATTAAAAGCTTTACCATTGAATTTTGAACCAAATGTAAACTTTAGGTACCCAAAATGTATCATCTTTTTTATACCAAATACGAACCAAGTCAGTGTTTTTAATTAAATTTGGATGTTTGAGGGGCTAATCAAATTATTATATTATTATAATATTTAAATTTGAATAAATTGAAAAATGGAAGTATTCCTAAAAAGATATTTTCTTGTTAATAAACATACAGTAATGACTTCTTGTTTTTTAATCTCAAAGTTTGTTGGAATAAACTCATTTGATAATGGAAGTTTTAATTCAGAGTCAATAGTTTCCGATTTTAATTCCTAATAATATATATATATATAAGTCAACTATTCTTAAGCTAGTAATGAGCCACAATATCAAATAAATATTTTCAATATACTCTACAAATTATATTTAATGGATCTTTTACCTGAAGGAGGTTTTCACTGATGGGTTCAACTTTATACTCTACACCATACCATTTTTCTTTTTGATCCAAATCAGTAAAAGTTTGACTGACTAAAGTAAGGTTAAAATTATCAGGTCTTAACCAATCTAAACTTTCCTGGATTAACTTAGGATCGTATTCCCTGAAAATATAGGGTTTACTTAAGACCCATTCACGAGGATATGAACTTTGCAAAGCATTGGAAAGATAAGAAGTGTAACTTTCAGGTCGAGATTTTTCTTTGAATTTAAATGATATGGCAGAAAGAGTTTTGGCCTTTACAAAATTTTTATTTAGTAAAATATAATATATACATTATCCCCATATAAAAAATTTTATTTTTGTTAAAACCATACCTCATTGTATATCCACTCTTTAATTCCTTCGTTTTTCAACATTTTAATGTATTGAAAAATGATTTTAACAACTTCTTCATAATTAGCTATAAACATTATATGGTTATAAATAAATAAATATAATCATAACAATTATAACAATTATAACTATTAATTAGAATCGCTCATAAAATTACCTAGACCAGATTCAGTTAAATCAACATCAATATTGAAGAATCCAAATCCTGCACTCACATCTCCTGATCCTGCACCTAAAGAATTTGCTAAACCTTTTCAATAAAAAGTAAGTAAATAAGTAAATAAGTAAATAAATAAATAAACAAAAAATAATGATTTTCTTTTTTTTTTTTTTGTAAATAACAAACCTTTCTTTTTCAACAGTGAAAATATAGAGCCAGTACCTTCATGACCCAATAAATGTGATATATACCTTCCAGGCTTTATAATGATGTTTTACAGAAAAAAAATTTAAAAATTTATAGATATGAAAAAAGTTAAAAAGTATAAAGTGTTAATATATATTACCTTAGTACGGAATAAAGGATCTTGAACTGGAAAAGGAAACTTTATTTCCAAATTTATTAAATCCTTAATAGGTTTAACATATACTTTTTTCTAAATAGACAAGGAGTTAAAATTTTAACATAAATATTATGTTTATATTCAAAAACATTTACCATCAATTCATTTTTAGTAAAAGGGTTTTCTTCAAAACTTGGTGCTGGTATTGATTTATTATTAACATCAGAAAATTTATCCACCACCCATCGAGTTAATTGATCCAAAGGTTCTATTCATCATAAAAAAAATAGATCATCAAAAATAAAAATAAAATCCAAATAATTAAATGATGTGATAAATATATTATTAATAATACCTTGGCCTAACACAACCAATTTCATTATATTTGCTGAATAGTAATTATTGTGGAACTTTAATAACTCGTCTCTAATATCCAATCCTTCTTTAAGTGGATTATCTTTTAAGGTAACTAAATTTCCAGTACCAAATTTTTTATAAGGATGCTTTGGGTTTGATATAGCTTTATCAATTTGATATAATCTTCTGGAATCAGACTGAAGATTTTTTTTAAATTCTATATATATGCATATTTTTTTTTTAAAAAAAGATTAGATTGTCTTCAATCTACCATATATTTTAAGTAAAATTAAATAATATATAATGTGTATTTATATATATATATATATGATTGATCATTACCAGAATCCACTGCAAGAATTTCTCTGTCAGTACAACTAGGGTCAAATAATGGTGATATAAAAAATTGTGCAAATCTATAAAAAATTAATAATTAATTGATTAATTAATTAAAGCTATAATGATTATTCTAAATTTTAAAGTATATATTAAGTATTAGTTACCTATCCAAAGCACCTTCCAAATTTTCATGAGCTACTTCAAAATAATAATTTGTATGATCTACACTAGTATATGCATTTGAATATCCACCATGATTTGATAGGTACTAATGAATTATACATTATTATTATGCAAATAAGTCCAAAGATAGATAGCAACCCACTTCATCAAATATAAGAACAGTAAACATCGTGGTAAAAAGTCTAGACCAAAACAAATACCTGACTCTGTCAATATAA